TTCAAGCACAGAAGCTTAATGTATCACAACTCAGGAGTAAAAAAGCTCAGCAGTTTTACCCTGAGAGACCTGATACATAGACATTTTGCATAAGGAAAAAGTGGAGAACACTGAATATGAACCACTGCACCTCAATAGAGCTCTGGAGTTAAAAAAAAAAAAAAAAAAAAATCACATTATTTGAACATTTACAAACATGTTCAAAGGTGAATTTGTTCCTACAATGCAGAGCATTTACATAAACTCTGGCTAAAGACAAACAATTATAGCCTTGGAAGAAAAAAAAAAAGCATTCTGAATGCAAAATCTACAATAGAACAGTGGATTCAATCTGGGTTAAATTGGTTCTTGAGTGATCCATTAAATTTTGCTTGGACCATTGTGAATCTTTACATTCATAAATCTACCTGTCTCTTACATAAAGCCTGGCTCTATGACCTTGTTCAATACTTGCCCTATTGCTGGGGTGTCAAATCCTGCTCCTGGAGGGCATACGTCCTGTAGAGGTCTAACTTCAATTTGCCCAACACACACATTCAAGAATTTCTAGTGCTCCTAAATATTAGCTGATTCAGTATTTAACTGAGATTGGAGCTAAACTGTGCAGTTCAGCTCCAATATTCTGCACCCTGTCCCTATTGCAAAGCAAAAAATCAAATCTCCATCATGTAATATGCTAGATGCAGTGTCATGCTTAGTGAGTACAGGTGAAAGAGTGTCTGCTTCTAAGGATTTTTGTGTATATGAGAAACACTTGTGCTCTAACACAAAACAGGTGACATGCGCAACAGACGAGTCTGTCTATATGAGCTAAGAAGGATTTGTGCTTCTGCCATCATGGCAATCAGGCCCTCTCAAGTGCATGTTTTTGGTTTAAATGAACGGATGTGTTTTTTGTTTTTTTTTGTGTATGTGCAAGAATGCGTGTCCACGTAAGAACGTCTATATGCAACTACAACTGTGTAAATATTTGTATTGTAATCCAAACAGAAGGAACACAAGAATGAAGTAGCATCACTGAAGTGACATTCTTGGGAAATTATCTCCTATATAGCTTCCCAAGACATCACTTTAGGAGGCTTGTCCACACACCCATGCCCATAAACTATAAGAAGCACAGACAGAGTGCATGAGCTGTACGGTACCTTGGCCACTCAGACTGGGGTTGGTGTAGTCCCAAGTATCCTGATCGTTTTTGAAGACGTTGAGACGGGTTGGCTATACAATAGAAAGTGAGCTTTCATTAGTAATCAGGGTAATATGTAGTCATAACCATTTAAAAACAAATATGCACAGCCATTAGTCACAGTGTGACTTGCATCCACTCTTATTATTATGGAAATTGATGAATTATGATCATTCATAACTCCAATGCACTAATGTCATCAACATTTGTCTCATATGACTTGAATGAGTATTTTGAAGGAGGAATAAGGATTTTCATGTTTTACTCGCAATTTGTAGCCAATAAAACTTTAGAGCTTGAAATAACTACATTATGCACACACTGTTGTAAGGTTGTATCAACTTGCATAAATTTTACAGGTCTAAAACTCACTTTTAAAACAAAAATTTAAATAATTTTAAGCCATGTTGAGGCTCCCTCAGAAGCCTCCTGATTGAGCAACAGTGATGTAGACTTTATAATGAAGGCAAAATTATTAAGTGCACCTGTAACAGAATGACTTAATTAGCCATATTGACTCCAGGCCTGCAGAGGGCACTGTACAGAATCATACGCATAATGTTTTGGGGTACTAACCTTGGCATACTCAATTTTAAGGGTGCAGCAGCCCGAGTAGATCTCAGCTCCGTTGAGAGATGCTTTGGCTCTCTGTGCACTCTGGACCGAGTCAAATGTGACCAAAAGTCAAGGAGAACAATATTTCGATTGTAAACAAGAGCATGCAGTGTAAACTACACTTTGACAGGGTTTAAGCTTTGTTCTTGTGATAAGACCCATACACTGTGCAGAAATCTTTAAACCACATTAGAGAAGATTTTGTTCAAGGATATTCGACCATGGCTTGAACTCCATTTTTCCTGAAGATCACAATCCTTTGCACAGGTCCGCAGTTATTACATATGGTGTAGAGAACATCCTATAGAGAAGAAATTACAATGTAATAACAACAGAGACAAGGATGAGGACAAGCTCAAATGCAATCGTAGACAGCTAGGCAATATAGTCTACTGAGCTACACCATCATGGGTGTTATCGAAACAACTTACCGTGGTAATGGGATACATGGGGTTCATGATGGTAAGGAGCAGTACATTGTTGACGCTCCGTGTATCATCAGAGTTGCTGGGCCGTGAGATTTTCTGACTGGTAGAGTAATTGATGTAAGATGGCCGGCCAGCGATGTAGATTTGATTATTGTTAGCATACGTCACTGCGTTACTGGAGCCGCTCGTGTCCTCAAACTCCACCAGTGCCTGACGCTTCTTTGGCATCAACACAACATAACTGAAAGACAGACGCATATATACACAGACTTTCAATAACAATTCTCTAGAAATAGTGCAAAATGCAAACCAATGAATAGCAAATTGTTAACTTCTTACATAATTGCCAAACTTACACTTTAATACCAGAGAAGACATTACTTCTGTTGGGCTTTTATTTAATATTTTACAATCAACTATTAAATTAGTTTTCATTTCAAGCAGTGGTTCTCAACCGGGGGGCTTAGCTTCCAACTTCCAAGAAGGCCAAAGGATGACTTTAAATGATTTAAATTACAATGATTGAGGACGCCATATGGCATAGGGACGATTCTTTTCCTCCATGTACATTACCTTATGGTGCCAAACTCCTGTAGCGCCTCCACCAGGTCAGCCTCGGCGATGCCGTCAATAAGCCCCCTTATATGCACCACAAGCGAGGGCAAGGTCTTGTGCGGGTCGTCATAGCCCTCCTGAACATACAAAAGGAAGAGTGAAAGGTTCAATCAAACAATAAATGTAAAACCAGAATCTTTCTGAATGTTTAAAGCAAATATCTAAAATACTTATTCATTTGTTTCACTATATTCGCCAAAATTATGCAAAATTTAGTATACTGTAGTAAATAAAAGTTCAGGCTAGTAAAATTTATCTAATTAGCATCGGATTCAGAGTTTTCTGTTCAAATTCGTGTTTCGCACGAAAACTGACAAATTCTCGTTCTTTCGAGTTTTCTCGAGCACTTTACCACATTTTCCATTCAGTTAATTGAGTGAAAGTCTGTAACATACAGTATGAACGCTTTACATCATAGGCTGATCTGACTGAACAGAACGATGAATGAGCATTGAGTAAAGCACTCCTAGCCGAGCCACAGATGTATTAGATGCTGCGAATTATATATCTCATCTTGTGGCTAGTACTTATATCCTCCGCAATCGAATAATTATTTCTCCTAACTGAACAGACGAACTAGGTTTGGCTACAAGCTAGCCTTATAGCATCACGTACTGAATGAAAGAAAAACGCGTTTCACGAGAAAAATTTAAGATCTAGCGCCACACGCGTGGAAATGCAATAAACTGAATAAAGTGAAAGTACCGTGGCCATTCCGTCGCTGTCTGTTTTCTGTCTTTTTGTTGCTCTGCCTCCGTCGCCGTAATAATGGCCTGCCGCAGCAGCCATGTTGTCTCAAATAAAATGTTCTAATGGAACACACTACTGCTGCAGCTACGGCAACCCGCAGGAGGAGGCGGGAACGCGAGAGGAAAAAGAATATTGGGAAAGGCTGCGCTTCAGCGCCTTTTGAGAAGACTAGCAAGACACTATTTTAGGGCTTCGTAGTCGTGTTCAAATCCGTCTGGTCCACCAAATGCCTTTAGGCTGCCCGCTTTACTAGTGTATTATAATATAATAGTGTAAACCTGATTATGCAATGCCTCTCGTTTGTCGTTTTCGCTAAACTGAACCAACACGCAGGCAATGTGTTAACAAGGAGAGGTACTCAAAAATCCCTGTTGGGTTTTAAATGTCTCCTTCACACATTTCTCGTGTTGTCTAAAAATGGTTTTGATATACAGGTGCATCTCAATAAATTAGAATGTCGTGGAAAAGTTCATTTATTTCATTAATTCAACTCAAATTGTGAAACTTGTGTATTCAATAAATTAAATCATCACAATTAAAAGAACCAAAGACTTAAACTACTGCAGTCTGTGTGCATTGAATTGATTTAATACACGAGTTTCACAATTTGAGTTGAATTACTGAAATAAATTAACTTTTCCACGACATTCTAATTTATTGAGATGCACCTGTAGCTGATGTTAACAAGCGAAAGGACATATAACTATACAAAATATTTGGTCTATATTTGGTTTCCGTCCACCTATAAAATTTAAGTAAGCTGTTTCAGTGTGCCTACAATCTCTATAGAATGTTTCCCCATAATAGCAATACAATTCTACATAAATGGTCTCGATATGAGTAAACTGATATGAGGTCAAATTAGTGGTGGGCGATATGACCAAAATTTAATCTAACGTCACAATGATATAACTAATTATTTTGCTGAAAATATGGTTTAAACAAAAAGTTGAGATGAAATTTTACAACTCTGCATGCCAATTGGCACCACAGCAGAAACTTGACACTAGGCCAAGTAAAAATACCAAACAACTTCTGAAGACATGTAAACAGTCAGTAATAAAAACAAATAAGCCAATTACAAATCAATACAAACTGCTAGTATAGAATACTGGAAGTATATTAAACTTCAACTGGTTGAAAATTTCACTATTTTTCCATTTAAACTAGTAATACCCCTAAAAATAAATAAAGAAAACTCAGATCAGTAAACATTTTGCACTGAAACAGTTGGGTTTGTAAAGCTTTATTAAAAAGATCATTGCCATTTTCAATGCAAAAACAAAACAAAAAAACTCTACAAATAAACAACCAAATCACAGCATACTCTTCAGCTCATATAATACACTGACTAAACCACAACAGCTCATTCACCACCTTACCCACAAATCACTGACCACAAAAAAAAAAAAAAAAAAGGTGTTTACAAGACTGAAGGAGGGAGGAGAAAAAAGGGGGATACGTAAAAGGTAAGGGAAATGGTGTTGTTTTTACGAGGAGCTTTCATTAAAATGTGGAGAGGGAGAAGAAATAGCTTTGTAGCTACAGTAGAACCAGTATTGAAATCATGGGGAGATAAAAATGTATTTTAGCCCTGAGGCAAAGGTGGGGAATGGGAGTGAAGCATCAGTATTCAGATCAGTCAGCATCCGGTGTTGGACTTCTCCTTGGGCTGGCAGACCTGGAATGACTAAGACAAAGCAAAGTGTCAGAATCTGCTCATTTTCTACAAGAACGACACAACTGAAATGCGCTTTTGTGTGAATTTGCATTTACCCGTCTTTCTTGTGACTGACCGAACGAGACCGAGAGCGAGATCTGGACACACTACGTTGCCTCTGTCTAGAACCAGATCGTGAACGGGAGCGACTACAAATATAAAAACAAACAATTCAGAAGGTAAGTACAACACCAGTACATCTCATTTCATGCATGTAAATCTGAAATAAATTAGCATGAGTAAACTGAGTACCTGTCTCTACGGACAGGTGTTCTGGATCTGGACCTTCGGACAGGGCTTTTCGACCTGCGTACAGGTGAACGCGAGCGCCGCACAGGGGTTCTGGATCTAGAGCGGGCCGGAGAACCTGACCTTGAACACAAAGGTGAAGTTTAAGGGGAAAAAAAAAACAGCCCAGAGATCAAAGACAAAATTTAGAAAGGCAAGGGGTCCTACAGAAAGATTGCTTCTGCAAAAGTGCCGTGGCAAATCAAAGCAGTAAGCAGACATATTGAAATTAGAGTTGGTAGAAACAGGACTGATAACACAGCATACCTGCTTCTGCGTTTTGAGTATGAAGGTGAACGGTCCCTTCTGAGAAAGAGTGGAGATACAATTAAAAAAAAGAAAAAAGTAATGAAATCAGATTGACATATCTAGACTGTAAATCTTTCCAAACAGCTGGAGCAGTGAGAGGACTTGCCTTTCATTGCTACGGCTACGAGAGCGGTAGCGCCGGCCACGAGATCTGGACCGAGAGCGGGAGCCTGACCTAAAAAGAAACAAAAACAAAATGAAAGATTATCAATAATACAACAGGGTCAGGTAGCAACACAATAAAAAAGGTTGATTAAAGTACCTGCTGCGTCGACTACGCCTCTTGCTGAAACGATAACAGTCGTAGGCATAATGACCAGATTCCCCACACTGGTAACAGCGGTCGTTGGGGTCAAACTGTCTGCGGCTGGGACGGCCATAACGGGACTTTCTGGACATACCATTAGACATCTCAACTCTCACGCGGGCTCCACAAAGCACCCTAGGATTTTATAGATCAGAAGGTTATTCGTTTCTCTATGCCAAACAAAGGTGCACTCATATGTGTCCCCCCTTGTTTTTTTCAGAGCCACACACTTCACAGAGATTCAGGCTAACTTCAGATATACTAAGAAAAACAACTGAACTCAAACACACTACAATTATTCTGCATCCAGAATAATACCACATAAGTTGGGGCCTTTGTGAGCGGAAAAAAGAACAGTGATAAACCGCCGACACTCACCCCTGCGGGTCTGAGCTCCCTGAAGAGGTCAGGGGGTTAAATGTGCTGCAGTAGCATCATGGCAAATGTAGGCAGGTAGAACTCAAGTTGACTCACTTTCCATCCATCCCCTTTACGGCATCCTCTGCATCTCTGGCATCCTCATACTCTACGAAGGCGAAACCTGGAGGGTTCCGGGCGACCCACACACTCCGCAACGGTCCATAGTAACTGAAGGCTCGCTCCAGCTCACCTTTGGCTGCACCATTGCCAAGGTCACCGACATAGACCTTACAGTCAGTGGCACGAGAGGAACTTCGGGATGAGTAAGACATCTTGCACCTGTAGTATGGACAAAGGTAAAGAAATTAATTAAATTAAAGTAAAAAAAAAAAAAAAAAATGGGCAGAGCTTAAAGGGTTAGTTTACTCCTCCGCGTCACCCTGTAGCGCCATTTTGGAGAGTATCAGCTGGACGTAAACAGTGCATGCTGTTCTGTGTCAGCTGCGTCACGCCGGATACGCGGTTTTTGTTCAGATCAAATCACAACAACATAGGAAAGAGAGCCGTGTGACGCAGCTGACACAGAACAGCATGCACTGTTTACGTCCAGCTGATACTCTCCAAAATGGAGCTACAGGGTGACGCGGAGAAGACGAATTGTTGAAAAATCGTCTGTTTTTTTTTTTTTTACTTTTGCGCACAAAAATTATTCTCGTAGCTTCATAAAATTATGGTTGAACCCCTGATGTCACA